CCAAATCCAAATCCAAATATAATCACAGATCCCAATGTGAAAGAGATTTACCAACCATTTATATTTGTGTATCACTGTTTTCAATTGCTGTATAATTCCACCAATCAACCATCGAGTATGCTTATGTTCATTATTGTCCTTGTACATCATACATTCAAACTAAGATGTTATTCCTTCATTTTTCAACAAGGTGTTCTAAATAGTCACTTCATAATATATTTTTTTAAGGTGGTGCAAATTGTGTAAATCAGGGTGGAATTCCATTCACTTTAATAAAGATTTGAAAAGTTCGAGTCTCTTTTGGCAGGTCACTGAAGCCAAAGAGTTGCCGGAGGTTCGGGGGGGGGGGGGGGGGGGGAGGGAGGGGGGTGAACGGGTCGTCCTCAACATATGGCCGCCATTGAGCCTGAAATGTATGTTGTGAAGTGAGACACTTAAGTGAGTTTTGCCTCGTTTTACGACCTTTTTTGGCCACGGTTGTTAAATGAATCGCTGCAAGTTGCTAAATGAGGAATGCAGTTGTTAAGTGAATCTGGTCATCCCCCCATCCCGTGTCTCTCCCCCCCCCCCGTTGTTGGAAGGTCGCAAAAGGAGATCACGTGACACTACAGCCGTCATAAATGTGAGTTCAGTTCTCAAGCATTGGGATGTCAGTTGTGTGGCCCTGGGGACGTTGCAACAGTCATAAGCGTGAAAAATGGTCATGGGTCACGGTTATTAAATGAGGTGTTGCAAGTCGAAGACTGCCTGCATGTGGAGTGATCAAGGGATCGATAGAAACCTCAATGAAGGAGGCTCCTGGGCTGATCCAGAGAAGCTCAATCATGAGTCCCTAGGGAGTGGGCGGCATACAAATCTTATTAAAATTGCAAAGTTGCAAAGGTCTGGAGACAAACCAGCATTGCAACGCAGCCACTGAGGGAGAAGCAACCTGTGAGAACTGCCTTGAACCTGGTTCCAGGATCCCCCAAATCTCTTCTGTGCTTCAAACCAGCTTTGTGAGCCGGTTGGTGCAAACTCCATCCTGTCCCTCAAGTTTTAGATATGTTTGAATAACTTGGCATGTCCTGTGTGTGTGTGTTAGAGAAAAGGGTGGGAGGAGAAGAATGTGCTCCTGTCAATCCAGCAGGAAGTCTGCTTTTTCACAGAAACGCTGGGTCTTTTTCTATTTAGTTGTCAAGGATGTTATGGCCATCCTTCAAAGGAGATGAAGATTGAGGACGGGAGGGAGAAAGAGAGGGAGGGGGGAGAAAGAAAGATAAAGGAAAGAAACAAAGAAAGAAAGAAAGAAAGAAAGAAAGAAAGAAAGAAAGAAAGAAAGAGGGAGGGAGGGAAAGAAAAAGAGAGGGAGAGAAAGCAAGAAAGAGGGAGGGAGAGATACAAAGAGATAGAGAAAGAGAGAGAGAAAAGGAGAGAAAAGGGAGGGGGAGAGAAAAAAGAGAAAAGAAAGAGGAAGAAAAAGAAAAAGAGGAGGTGAAAGAGAGAAAGGAAAAAGAAAGAGAAGGAAAAAGAGAGGGAGAGAAAGAGAGAGAGCGACAAAGAGATAGAGAAAGAGAGAAAGAAAGAGGGAGAGAGAAAAAAAAGAGAAAAGAAAGAGGGAAGGAGGGAGGGAGGAGAAAGAGAGAAAGAAAAAGAAAGAGGGAGAGAAATAAGGAAGGAAGGAAAAAAGAGGGAGGGAGAGAAAGGAAAGAAAAGAGAGAAAGAAAGAGGGAGAGAGAGAGAAACAGAAAGAAAAAAGGAAGTAAGAAAAGGAAGAAAGGAAAGAAAGGGAGGGAGAGCAAGAAAGAGAAAGAAAGAAAGGAAAGGAAAGGAAGAGAGAGAGAGAAAGAGATAGAAACAGAGGGAAAGAAGGAGAAGGAAAGAGGGAGGGAAAGAGAGAGAAAGATAGAGAAAGAAAGAAAGGAAAGGAAGAGGGAGAAAGAGATAGAAACAGAGGGAAAGAAAGAGAGAAGGAAAGAAAGAGGGAGGGAGAGAGAAAGAAAGGAAAGAAAGAAGGAGAAAGAGAGAAAGACAGAAACAGAGGAAAAGAGAGAAGGAAAGAAAGAGGGAGGGAGTGAAAGAGAAAGAAGGGAAAGAAAGAAGGAAAGGAAGAGGGAGAGAGAGAAAGATATAGAAACAGAGGGAAAGAAAGAGAGAAGGAAAGAAAGAGAGAGGGAGAGAGAAAGAAAGAAAGAAAGGAAAGGAAGAGGAAGAGAGACAAAGAGATAGAAACAGAGTCAAAGAAAGAAAGAAGGAAAGAAAGAGGAAGGGAGGGAAAGAGAAAGAAAGAAAGCAATGAAATGAATGAAAGAAAGAAAAAGAAAGAAAGAGAAAGAATGAGTCATCCCATTGGGTGAACAATGAGCCGGAAGCCCTGGGAAGCCTCACTTGAGATCTGACAGCGGAGACAGAAGAGCGTTCCTCTCTCTCTCTCTGTCTGTGTGTGTGTCCCAACTTTGTGAAAGTGTTTAAAAATAACTCGCAAAGGCCGGAGGGGGGAAAATATTTCAGGAATCCCATGGAAAGACCATGGAGAAAGGGTAGGAAGGGGACCGACCTCCTTTCTAGCCACCAAGACGAAGTGGCGCGATGGGGGTGGAGAAATTGTGGACTAGCCCCTTGCAAAGGATTCAAACACCCCCCCCCCCTAAGGACACCCGGCCTCTTTGGCAAATGGGACACAGTGACGCACAACTACCACAGAAGTTGCCACAAGGATGGATGCAAGACCGTTCAATGTTACAATGGCAACGGGGGAAAATCGACTTACGACCATGTTTCCCACTTATGACCGTTGCAGCGTCCCTGGGATCCCCTCGGGTGACCTTCTGACAACCGAAGGATCCACTTAACAACCGGGGGTCTCATTGAACTACCGCCGTGCTTCGCTTAGCAACCTTGGCAAGAGAAGTCGTTAAAAACAGGTCCGAAACGGCGTTAACCAACGTCTCCCTTAGCAACGGGAAATCTGGGCCCTCCGTTGATGTCGTACGTCGAGGATGATCTCTGCTGGCCTTTGAGCCAACTGGAACGGTCTGGTTTTTTTCCTGGATTTAGATGGGGGGCATTTTCTCATTTTATTTCTTTAAACGGAGCCCCTGTCTCATTTCAAGAGTTCGAGCTGCAATTCTGGGCAAACTAGCAGAGATGTTAAAATGCCCCTTGCCAGCAGTTTCCCTCTTCAGGATTGAAAGTGGCTCTCGCCCCCCGCCGTCCTGGGGTGTCCCTGGAAGCCAAGCCCCCTCCCCTTCTTAAAACCGCCCTGTTAAAAGCACTCAAGCGAGACTTACGTGTAGGAGTAACACGGCTGCCAGGAAAGACTGCCCTTGACAGTAGCCAATCTCCTCGTCGTAGACAGAGTAAGCCTGGGGAAGGAAGGGCGAGGACATCCGTCATGCAACATTGGGAGTGGCCCATCAGCCGAGTCACCTCAGCCAGGCTGGGCGACTGAAGTTACAGAGTTGGAAGGGGCCTTGTAGGTCATCTAGTCCACCCACCCACCCATTTCTGACAGTCTCTTCTTGAAAGCACAACTTCCGAAGGCAACTTCTGTTCCGTGGGTTGATTGTTTCTCACTGTCAGAAAATTCCTCCTTATTTCCAGGTAGACTCTCTTGTTTAATTTCCATCCATTATTCCTTGTCTGGCCTTTGGAAAATAGCTTGATCTCCTCCTCTCTGGGGCAGCCCCTCAAATATTGGAAGGCTGCTATCCTGTCTCCCCTGGTCCTTCTCTTCCCTAGACCAGCCAGGCCCAGTTCCTGCAACCTAAAACATCGTGTTTTAGCCTCCAGTCCCCTCATCATCCTGGTTGATCTTCTCTGCACTCTTTCTAGAGTCTCAATATCCTTTACAAATTAACAGTGTTGGAAGGGGCCTTGTTGGTCATTTAGTCCAACCCCCTGCTCAAGCAGGAGACCCTACACCATTTCTGACACATAGCAGTCCATTCTCTTCTTGAAAGCCTCCAGTGAGGAAGCTCCCACAACTTCTGTTCCTTTGATTGCTCTCACTGTCAGAAAATTCCTCCTTATTTCCAGGTTGAATTTATCTCCTTAGTCAATTTCCATCCATTATTCCTTCTCTGGCCTTTGGGTGCTTTGGAAAATGGCTTGATCCCCCTCCTCTCTGGGGCAGTCCCTCAAATATTGGAAAACTGCTCTCCTGTCTCCCCTGGTCCTTCTCTTCCCTAGACCAGCCAGGCCCAGTTCCTGCAACT